ACTGAGAATGATATTTGCTGTGGGTTTGTCATATATGGCCTTTATTATGTTGAGGTATTTTCCTTATATACTCATTTTGTTTAGAGTTTTTATCATAAATGGATGCTGTGTCTTGTCATGCTTTCTCTGCATCTATTAAGATGATCATGTGATTTTTTTTCTTCATTTTGTTAATGTGGTGTATCATGTTGATTGATTTGTGGATGTTGAACCATCCTTACATCCCTGGAATAAATCCCATTTTATCATGGCATATGATCTTTTTAAGGTATTGTATTCGATTTGCTAGTATTTTGTGGAGGATTTTTCCATCAATGTTCATCAGTGATATTGACCTATAATTTTCTTTTTTTGTGTTGCTCTTATTTTGTTTTGGTATCAAGGTAATGTTGACCTCGTAAAATGAGTTAGAAAGCTTCCCTTCCTCTTCAATTTTTTGAAAGAGTTTGAGAAGGATAGGTATTAAGTCCTCTTTGAATGTTTGGTAGAATTCACCAGTGAAACCATTTGGTCCTGGACTTTTATTTTTGGGGAGATTTTTAATTATTATTTCAATCTCCTTACTGGTGATTGGTCTATTCAAATTCTCTATTTCTTCTTGATTCAATTTTGGAAGATTGTATGATTCTAAGAATTTATTCATTTCTTCTAGATTATCCAAGTTGCTCGCATATAGCTTTTCCTGATATTCTCTTATAATCTGTTGTATTTCTGAGGGGTACATTGTAATTTCTCTTCTTTTATTTCTGATTTTATTTATTTGAGCCTTCTGTCTTTTTTTCTTTGTGAGTCTAGCTAAAGGTTTGTCAGTTTTCTTTATTTTTTCAAAGAACCAGCTCTCAGTTCCGTTGACTTTTTCTATTGTTTTTTTTACTCTATTGCTGCTCTGATTTTTATTACTTCCTTCCTTCTACTGGTTTTGGGCTGTGTTTGTTCTTCTTTTTCCAGTTCCTTTAGGTTCACTGTTAGATTGTTTATTTGAGATTTTTCTTGTTTGCAGAGCTTGGCCTATATTTCTATAAGTGTCCTTCTCAGAAACGCTTTTGCTGTATCCCATAGATTTTGGCCTGTCATATTTTCATTTTCATTTGTATCCAGGTATTTTTTTATTTCTTCTTTGACCCAATTGTTGTTCAGTAGCATTTTATTTAATCTCCACATATTTGTGGCTTTTCCAATTTTCTTCCTGTAGTTGATTTCTAACTTCATACCATTGTGGTCAGAAAAGATGCTTGGTATTAATTCAGTCTTCTTAAAGTTAGTGAGACTTGTTTTATGACCCAATATGTGATCTCTCCTGGAGAGTGTTCCAGAAGCATTGGAAAGGATGCATATTCTGTGGTTTTAGGGTGGAATGTTCTATATTCTAAGCCCATCTGGTCTAATGTGTCATTTAAGGCCAATGTTTCCTTATTGATCTTCTGTTTGGATGATCTATACATTGGTGTGAGTGGAGTGTTAAAGTTCCCTACTATTATTGTGTTACTGTCTATTTCTCCCTTTATGTGTTAATAATTGCTTTGTATATTTACATGCTCCTTTTTTGGGTGAGTAAATATTTACAAGTGTTATATCCTCTTGTTGGATTGTTCCCTTTATCATTATGTAGTGCCCTTCTGTGTCTCTTGTTACAGTTTTTGTTTTAAAGTCTCTTTTGTCTGATGTAAGTATTGCTACCCCAGCTTTCTGTTCATTGCCATTTGCATGGAATGTCTTTTTTCATCCCTTTGCTCTCAGTTTGTGAGTGTCTTTAGGTCTGAAGTGTCTCTTTTATGCAGCATATATATGGATCTTATTTTTTAATCAAATCAGCCACCCAATGCCTTTTAATTGGAGCATTTACACCATTGACATTTAAAGTAGCTATTGAAAAGTGTGTCCTTATTGCCATTTTGTTACTTTTTTTCTGGCTGTTTTAGTAATTCTTCTCTGTTCCTTTCTTCTTCTCTTGCTCTCTTCCCTTGTGGTTTCATGGCTTTCTTTAGTATTATATTTGGGTTCCTTTATCTTAATTTTTTGTGTATTCATTTTAGGTTTCTGGTTTGTGATTACCATGAGGTTCATAGATAATAACCTATGTATATAAGAATCTATATAAAGTTGATGGTGTCTCAAGTTTGACCTCTTGCTAAAAGCTCCACTCTTTTACTCTCCTTCTCCTACACTTTATGTTCTTGATATCATATTTAACCTCTTTTTTTTGTGTGTGTCTCCATGACCCTCTTATCATGGGGATAGATAATTTTAGTACTTTTATCTTTTGACCTTTATATTAGCTTCATAGATGGTTGATTTGCTACCTTTATAGTATATTTGCCTTTACTAGTGATTTTGTTTTGTATTATTTTATTTGGTAATTTTCTCATTTGTATTTGTGCTCTTTTCTTTTCCACTTAAATAGGTCCCTTTAGTATTTCTTGTAAGGCTAGTTTCTTGGTGATAAACTCCTTTAGTTTTTGCTTGCCTGGGAAACTCTTTATTTCTCCTTCCATTCTGAATAATAACTTTGCCAGGTAGAGTATTCTTGGCTGTAGATTTTTTTCCTTTCTGCTCTTTAAATGTGTCTTGCCACTCCCTTCTAGCCTGTAAGCTTTCTGCTAGCTTTATGGGATTGCCTTTGTATGTAACTTGTTGCTTTTATCTTGCAGGTTTTAGGATTCTCTCTTTAACTTTAAATCTCGACATTTTAATTATAATATGTCTTGGTGTGGGCCTCTTAGGGTTTATCTTATCTGATGCCTTGTGTGCTTCCTGTACCTGAATGTCTGTTTCCTTCCTTAGCTTAGGAAAGTTTTCAGCCATTTTTCTTTGAATAGATTCTCTGCTCCATTGTCTCTCTCTTCTCCTTCTGGGACACCTATAATATGGGTGTTAGTGCACTTGATGTTGTTCCAGAGGTCCCTTAGACTGTCCTCTTTCTTTCTAATTCTTTTTTCTTTTATCTGTTCAGCTTGAGTGATTTCTTCTAGTCTTCCGTTCAGCTTGCTGATCTGTTCTTCTGTATCATCTACTCTGCTGCTGATTCTGTCTAGTGAATTTTTTATTTCCAGTATTGTATTCTGCATTTCTGATCGGTTCTTTTTTATATTTTCCAATTTTTTGTTGAAGTTCTCATTGAACTCATCCATTCTTCTCCAAAGATCAGTGAGTATTTGTGTGACTATTAGTTTTTACTCTTTATCAGGTAGAGTATTTATCTCTGTTTCCTTTAGTTCTTTCTGTGAAGATTTGTCCTGTGCCCTTATTTGGAACTTATTCCTTTGTCTTCTCATTTTGCCTCTTTCTCTGTGCTTATATCTATGTATTCGTAGATCAGTTACATCTCCTGATCCTGGAAAGGTAGCCTTATGTAAGAGATGCCTTATGAGGCCCAGCAGTGTGCTTCCCTTTTGTCACCAGTTCCAAATATTCCAAGAGTGTCCCCTGTGTGGGCTACTTGTGTCCATCTGTTGTGGCAGGATTGCTCTTCCTGTAGGTGCTTGGGTAGGCTAGGCTAACCCCCAAGCTTGCTAGTTGTAAGACTCAGCTACATGCAGTTGCTGTGGTCCCTTCAATCACTGTATTGAGCATGGGGAGCCCTAGCACAGTTGACTGCAAGGTCTAACAGCACATTCCTGCTGCAGTTTTTCTGTTAAGTGAGTAGGCCCCCAGCGTGGCTGGTTGCTAGGCTCAGGGGCTTGCAATTGCTTTAGGCCTCAGACTTGCAAGGCTGTTGCCAGCTCTCTCAGTAGTGCAGCTGGGTGGGGCCAGCCTCCAGTGTGGCAGCACACAATTGTTTCATGTGTTAGAAGCTGGGGCTGATTCTGTATGTGGCTTAAGATTGCTCCAGGCCATGAAGCAGAATGTGACTTTTTCCTCTCCAGAAAGGAATTTCTGCCTCTTCCACCTTAGTCGGCACTGTCCCTTGTTGTGGGAGTTCTTTTAATCCAGTTTTCAGTTCTCTCTCAGGGACAGTTGGTACAAGGGTAATTATAAATTTGCTATGTCTGTGAGTTTAGAGTTCTCCTAACCCAGCATCTTGCCAGCTATCTCTTTGAGTTGATATTTTAAAAATCTGCTTTACTCCCTCTACTGTTTCTCCAAAAATCCACTTTTAGTTCTTTGCTTCAAATAATGGAAATGTTCATTTCATAACAGAGCAACTGACTCCTTTCATGATCAAATGAAGGGATGTCACGTTTCAGCGGCGTTTACCAATCCTAGACTATGTAGATGACCTGTTTTTTGTAGTTGTCTGCCTGTTCTATGGACTAATAGAAAATACTCAAGCTCTGTTTGGCCATTTAAATTGTGTGTGCCTGAAGATAAAGTGCTACTTTACCTGTTGTTTACTTTTAGTAAGCAATATTTCTTGCCTCATAGAAGAGTAGTATCTAATAAGAGCATGTTGCAATGTAACATTTCAATACTGACTCTGTAGGATAAATTGAAGACATAGAAAAGGTCCATGACTTATTGTATTAGCTTGGCAACATATCTGCACTGGAAGAACTCCCCTCCTTCTATATCATCTGCTTCACTTTCCTCCTCAAATAACTGGTGCTGTGAACCTTCATTCCAGTCACTGATGTGTTCTGGTTGTGCTTAACTCATGAACTGGATTCCAGCCCAGAGCACCTTTGTGCTGGGTGCTTAAGATGTTGGTGCCTGTGTGCAGGGAAACTGAGTTACTTCTCTAATTCAAACAAAACTGCCTACTTTGGGTTTTATATTTACAATCTATCTTTTTTAAAAATGAACATCCTAAAGTCTTGGTCACCATTTCTACAACTATGTTACATGGAATACCAGTCCTGGGAGATTTTATTTTGAGATGTATGAAATAAAGATGTTCTTTGGTAAATGTTTAGGAAATGCTATTTATTATATACTCTTTCCTTGAAAATTACATACACATTCACAGATTATAGACTCTGGAAAGTCCCACTGTAAAAACATTTGCTTAACTTTGTTTAATACAGGGATTTCCAAACGTATGTTGAGAAACAAAACCATTCACACCTACAAGATTATTGTCTATACATAAACGTGACTTTACTATGTGGCTATCTTCATTACATGGTTTTATTTTTCAGGAAACTTGCCCAGGATGTTAAAGTTGCAAATAGGTTTATTGTTCATTTTATGAACTCCCAGAAAATCTATTCAAAAAAATACTCCATTTACCCTCATCAGAGTAAATCCTCTTTCTCAGGATAATATGGCAACAAAGGAGGGCTAGCTCTTCAAGATTCTCTTAGAAACCATATCCATGCTGTGTTCACTAATCCGCTTATATCATGAACCTTCTGCAGTCCTGATCAAGCCCCCAATTTAACAAGATCTCCCAAGTCTGCTGAATTTCTGCTTTGTCTTCCCCATTCCCAGATGCTACTAAGACTGTCAAAGTAACCATCTCCCTCATCATGATAAGCAATAAACTCAGCTATGCTTTGTCAAAAGAATATTTTTGGCGATCAGCATTTGACAATCTAATCACAGAATTCTCTTTTCACATAAACCTATTTACATCTAAAGGAACCATTGTTTCAAGGAATATGCTTGAGGGCACATAGGCTTACAAGATTCTGCAGGAGAATTCAGTGCCCAAGAAGCCCCTGGATCCAAGCTATCAAAGATCACCTTGTCTTCAAATTACATGATATTTCTTCAGGAAATTTCTGTCAGCATGTTTGTATACACTAAGAGAGGTTAGTCCTTCCTCCGTATGTTTAATACCAGGGTACAGTTTTCTTTTTAGTCTTCACTGAGATGAAATTGTTTTTCTTCCTTCTGTGTGCTCCCATATGTAGGGTAAATCTCAAAAGATTATGTCCAGAATTGAATTGGAAGAGAACAAGTGAGATAAAGATCTCTGAAAGGTCCTTCAATTGGAACTTTAAAATATCCGTTAACAAATGTGGTAAAATACGCTGCATCTCAGTGCAGGTAACCGTTGGTCCCATTGCTGGCTTGGACTTCCAGGAAAGTGACAACAATTCTAGACATCTCCCATTAATCTACCAGTAATCCATTGTGCAGGCTTTACACAGGTGGGTAGATCTGGGAGAATGTAGATGATACAGGGCATATCCTCTGTCTCATATCCCCATTTCCCCAGGTAAGCTTACCTGTCATCTGGTGCTTTGTCACCTGCTCATGTCCTCCTCTCCTCTCTGCTGTGCCCTCCTCTGCTCCCTCACCGCCAGCCTCCTCACGAGATGGGATGGGCAGAAAGCAGGGTCTGATTCACATTATTGTGTGATTTTATTGAATCTTGTTTGTAAAATTTAAAAATTAAAACAAAAATTATACATCTGTAACTACCTGAACCTCGGTTTTCTCATTTGAACAATGGAGATTTTTGGAACTGCTCAATATTTCAAAGGTTGTTTTGTGATCAGGATATAGAAGTACTAAGAATATAAAGCTTTACATAAATGTAAACCACTATTGGTATGCAAAGGTGGTGATAAGTGTAGGTGCTACTTCACGTTGCAGTAGAAGTAATAGAAGTGGTTTATTATCTTGGCCACTCTAAATATTTTCACTATATTAATATAGCTTTCAGCAAAATCTTAGTTTAAGATAACTACTGTCATTTTTGTCAACGAGCTGAGCTTTAGTTTTGAATTTAATTCATTCAGACTAGAAAACCACAGCAGTGATCAAAGGCATAATTATAACATATTTATAGCCTATTATTATTGTAACATTCTGAAGTAAAGGGCAAAAATTCCACCCAGTGAACTTGTTCTTCCTGTTACTGACACAAGATTGAGACATTTAAATGCTAAGACATGGATCCCCGAGGCAGAACATAAAATATTTATAATGAAGGGAGTATGGACCAATAAATTTCAGTTATGAATGTTTTTAGCTGGAAGAAATAATAAATAACCTTCCACAGGCAATATTTCAGTTTGCATTTATTGTACCTCATCGCATCAGATTTTCAGGAAACAATAATGATTGCATGGTAGCATACTAAATTACTCTCATGTTTAATGAACGATTAGACTGTTAAGCTTTGATTAAGATATAAAGGCCTCCCTAATTTCACTGCGAGATGTGGTTTGCTTGGAAAGGTATAGTTTGTGATAGTACTAGTAAAAAGATTGTAATTTATATAATTTCTATTGAGAAAAAGAATAGTTTCAGATATAGATAAGCTTTGAAAAAGCAATACCAGACTCAGATTTGAGGAAGGAGGGCCGGAGTAGCATTTAAATAATAGGGAGATGAATTATATACTTGGGCTGTCTTATCTCTAATCCATTTAAACAGTTTTAAAAATTGGTATGCAAATGGCTTAAATTTTATCTGATTATGCATAGACAATGCTAGGAGATATTATGGTACCTAGAAAATAATGCAGGATTGGGCATCAAAGGGTTTAAATCAGAGTTCTGACTTTGTAGTTTAGTAGCTGTGTGACCCTGGGCAAGTCTTTTATCTTCTCCAACTCTCCTGTTTCTTTATTTGCAAAGTCATATGTGGCATGGTTATTGTAAAGATGAAATGAGATAACTTATATATCTTAACATGGGCTCTCCAGAAAGCAGAGTCTGAGTGCAAGTTTTTTCTTAGCATTTGTGATCCTGGGAACCGTAAGGAGTAGGGTACAGAGGAACCAGGCAAAGACGGAGGGAGAGTCGACACCAGGATGAGTTGTTAGTGGGCCACTGCTGTAAGTGCCTATGCTTGATAGCCACGTGCGTACTATTTAAAAGCCTTCTCAAGAAGTGTGAATCAGGACCGTTTGTCTAGGGGGAGAATGAAAAAGAATTTATTATTCATCAGTTTCCTTCCACCATTGGTCACTCATAGGGTATATTTATAGACTGACTTGTGTTCCCCCAAAATGTATGTGTTGAAGCCCTAACCCCCAGTGCCTCCTAAAATAACTCTATTTGGAGATAGGACCTTTAAAGAGGTGATTAAGTTAAAATGAGGCCCTTAAGGTGGGCCCTACTCCAATCTGACTGGGCTCCCTATAAGAAGAAGAAACTTGGACAGAGAGACACCAGGGGTGAGTGTGCACAGAGGAAAGACCATTTGAGGACACAGTGAGAAGGTGGCAAGCCAAGGAGGGAGGCCTCAGGAGAAACCAAATCTGCCAACACCTTGATCTCAGACTTCTAGCCTCCATAAGTGTGAAAAAGTAAATTTCCGTTCTTTAAACGACCAAATCTATGGTATTTTGTTATGGCAACCCCAGGGAGCTACCCCACACTCTAGATTGTATATATATGAGAGGAGAATAGTTTCCCTCCCTGTCCCCGACTTAAGGTGTCAACAGAAAAGCCCCAATTGGGAAGCCAGAGATGGGATCCTTAGGGCAAAGTGCTGCCCAGCTGCATGTATGGGATGCCGACCAGACCCCTCACAGACCAGATGGTCACTTTGGTGCCTAGAATAGGCTACGTGAGACCAAGAGAACACAAGGAGATGCATGGGAGGTATCAACACCGTATGCAAAAGCATTTTAAAGCTACAAGGTTGTTATTAATAATAAGCAAAGATAAAACTGCTTATCGCTACTTCATGGACTTATTAGGATTCATTAGGAATGTATATGGTTTATGAACTCATAATTACATTACTGAATTTTGTTTTAAATCATGTTTGTGCAGAACTCTTCTGAGATCAAAGGGAAATAGCCACGTGTCCTCTAGACAGCAAGCAAAATTTAGAATCTTTTAAAAAGAGCCAATAAGCTATATACTTGAAAAAACAGTATTAAGTAAAATCTGGCATTGATTTCATTCCTTTTGTCTGTGTGCCTGTTTCCTCTGCAATCTGTAGCACCAAGATTAGCCTTTAAATTCCATGTACCATGGTCTATTGCAAAGAATCTTGAACTGGACACACTAGAGAGATGAGTGATTTTCTTGGTCACACAAGGCGTGCATATGGTTATAAGTTTGGTTACATTAGACCACGAAAGCTTTCTGTTATATTTGTGGAGATGTCGGGAAGTATCTCCACATTTCAGGGGCAGTTAAAGGGTTTGCGGATTGGTGAAGTGAGGAGTGAGGGGAAATGTGGTTTCTGTGGCTGAAGAAATGGAGTCAGGAGTCCTGAGAGCTCTGACTTGTATGCATGTGGGGCACCTAGGAATATACTTACATAGAAACCAGCGACTGAAACTTACCAGTTTCCAATTTTCCATTTTAGCAAATCTGACATCTGGCAATCTTCATGTATCCATTCTGTTCGAAGAGGAAAACAGTTTGAAATCCATCCTCAAAGATGGCATTGGGTAGGAAGTCAAACTAGTATTCATAACAAATATTATCAAAATGTTGCTTGCTGAGGAGGCTGATAAATGTTGGTAAGAAGAAATGTGAACACTAAAATTGTAGGCTTTGCATAAGTCATCATTTAATAACTACCTTATCTACCTAATAACTACCTTATTTACCTAGTAGCTGAGAAGGGGAAAACAAGAGGAGACAGATGCGCTTGCTCACCCACTGTTCAGCTTTGTGTTCATCTCTGGCTGAATGCCATTTCCAGGTGTTCAGTGTTGAGCCAAACGCTAAAATTAGACATTTGGTACAGCCTTTGTTGAGACACAGGGTGACGTAGGAAATCTTGTTCAATCCTTGGCTCTTGACACAGCTATTAGGACCTCTCTTTCTCGGGCTGTCAAATTTACCCAGCAATTTAAAGGAAAATGAAATAAATAAGATAGAAATGTGATCAGGGAAAAATATTGGACCCCAGATGTTGTAGCAAAGTGTCCCTTAAACCGCACTTCTTTACTTAAATTTTTTTTCTTTTCTATTTCTTTGGGAAAACATGGAATTTGAGTGGTGCTTTTATCCTTTTTAGGGTTTGGTCCAAATCTTATTATAAAAGTGATCATAGATATATAACATTGTAAAGACAAAGATCTGGAAAAATAAACTAGAATTTCAGACATCAAAAAAAAAAAAAAAAAGGAGTATGCCCATGTTCCTGAGATTATAGAACCTAATCCTCAAGTTTGCAGATCAGGAAACGCTATGTTGGTGGTACCCACACAAGGTGCTGCAGAGTGAGGCTGCTCACCACTCCACAATACAACAATGCCTGATGTAATTTATAGTGAACCTGGCTTAATTTATCACTTAGATTGACAGGTCAGCTTGATTTACTATCCAAATATTAGAGGATAAAATGATCTTAGCAAGTGCTTATTGTCTGGGTGAGCATACTTCATTGCTTTGAATATTTGTGCCGTGTATTGGGGAAAAATAAAGAAAAGTAGAGAGATTTGTTGGATAAATGTGAAGAAAAGTAATAATAGTTCAAAAGTAAGGGGTCAGAGGATTTCTAATCATGGCCCCATGATTAGATTTCAGTTTTGTGATTAGGAAGCAGAGAATACAGACTCCTGTCAATCAGATAAGTTAGACCCTACTGGCTGGCATTTCTCCACCATTATAGAGACCCTGGGGACAGACCTGACATGGTTTTCAACTCTCTCTCTCTCTATCGAAAAGCCGTAAGGGCTCAGCAGTAACCACTGGGTGATTAGGAAGGGTCAGAGAAGTGTTTGACTTGGTGTAATTTTTTGTGTGTCTGAGCCTGAGTCTGGACACTGCTTTCTCCTCACTCTCTCCAAACCCCAAAGGTAAGAAGTGCCTAGTGCTTATGGTTGAGGGGAAGAAGAAAGGTAAAGGAAGATTTGCATGTGTGATATCGTGATCTCTGTACAACAATTAACGAGGCTCTGCTTTACCATCCCAAATATCAACTGTACTTAACTTTGCTTTCACACTTTAGGAAGGAAAGTTGAAACCAGTACAAGGACGGAGAGAGATAAATCTTTTTCTTGCCTCAGTCCTAAATTGGAACCAGAGCACCCCCATTTCCAGGCTTGGGATTTGTGGAAAGCAGGAATTAGCAATCCTGAAGTTTTCCTCGAGAGCAAGAACATCAAGCAAAGGGAGGTAGTAGCCTTGAGGAATGTTTCCTCCCAGCCATGGTGAGGCCTGATATGATGCCCCTGACGCCATATCCCAGCCCTGCCACCCTCCATGACTCTTACCTTTCTTGATTACCATCTTACTCCCTTTCAATCACACCGTCCTTTCTCTCCATACAGTCAACCCTCCTCCCCAGCTTTGTTAAAATAATTGATTGACTCAGGTCAAGCCCTTTCTTTTGGTTTTTGGCTTAGGCAACATTGGATCTTTTATCCTTATACAGAGAATCGAAAGAAGTTTGGGATGATTGTTAAACAGTATGTTGGTCACATTTTCAAATAACAGGTTCAATATGTTTTTCTCCAACCTTCAGACACATTTTCAGGTGAAATATTTTGAAATTTAAAACAATGGGTCCAAGTGTTAATCTGAAAGAAAAAAACAAAAGAAACAAACAGAAAACCCAAAACCAATAAGTATACTACTTTCCCTGTGTTTCCAGACTTTTTTGGACAATTTGGTGTATATTCATTTTACTTTTTCAGATTAAAAGTTAAACCATTGCTTGAAATTTAGAGCTATTACATGACAAAATATTCTGAGCATATGTTTTGAAGATGTAGTGTATAATTTAAAAATAGCTTTACCTATGTTTCCTAACTTTTCAGATATCCTGTGATTCTTTGAGACAAACACTCAGGGCCCTACTGCTTACAGCTTCAAGCATAACGGAGTCTAATAGTGTTTATTGTCACTTAATACTGGCTACTGATTGCTTTATCAGTAAGGCTTTGTCTTTTTTATTTTTTCCATATCACTTTGTCTGATTTTTTTTAAAAGATGAATTTTGTGGTTCCATTCTCAGCATAAATAATGAATGCTTGCAAAGAACCCCAGATGTTCTGCCCTTGACTTTGTGGAGTTTGTACCAGAACAGTTATTGCAACACCTACAGCAGCAGGAACTTTTTGCTTGAGGTTTGAACTCTGGAAACATGTCCACTGCGCCTCGCTTAGCAAAGCTGTTGTCAGCCTTCTGTGCAACTCGCGTTTATAGTAAATAAAGAACAAGGATGCCACAAATAAAAGTGATGCCTCACAAAGTAAGAATATAGCCAGTATTACTCAAAATATCTTCTAGGTACAGGGAAAAACCTTCTTATGACAGGAGAAATATGAGTGGGGAAATAGATGGTGTGTGGACTGAGAGCTTCTCCATGAGCATTTTAACACGTCAGCCGAATACATGCTTGCAGCTTCTCTCAAGTGTGTTGTTAACTCAACCAGTGTCTGGATGGATCTGCAGGCCACTGGGACAAGTCCTGGAGCTTCTGTGACTTGTGTTGGGCCAACACGTGGTGAAAAGCAATGGCAGTCTCTGTCTGGGAACCATGGTCAGCCAGTGTCTAGAAGCTGGTGAGCTGCTTCTGTTTGAAATCTGCTTTCTAAATGTGCTTAGACCAGTGAAGCTTACCTCCTGAAACCTGAATCCGGGGTCTGACAAGTCCCAACACACTGTAGCTCCTGATACCCGCAAAGTCTGTACTCAGTCTAACGTATTGATTCTCTGAACTTGTTGCCTGAGGGAGAGGCAGAGCTAATTAAAAGAAACTGGAGCTTTGAAAATCTCTGAGAATCTCTCTGAGATGCTGCCACTAACCTCGGGAATTTTAATCATTGCCCAGCACAGGAGCTGACAACAAATCTTTCTCCATGCTGCTGAACTAAGAGTGAGATGCCTTTAAAACGGGAAAAGAGAAATCATAAACTTCCCTGCTTGCATCTTAATTTCTCCCTAAGACTTTGAATAAAGTAAAAGAAATTTGAGGGTCAAAAAAAATGTATGTGTGCCTGTCTATAGGCATGCATATTTGGGATAATCATACTAAGTATTTCTAGGGTCTTTATAAATATCAGTTAATTAAAAAGAATTCTCTCTGTGCAATAAGGGCAATTTCTTCCATTTTATTGGAAGGAAAAATGAGACAGAGAGAAGTTAGGTAATTTTTCTTGAGTAATCTGAGTCAGCCAGAAAGACAGTTGGATGAGATTAGGACTCAGAGTTGCTGACACTCAAAGACATGTGGAAACCACTAGACCACATCGTTATCTTTCTTTCTTGAACCAACTATAACAAAATAGCCCTTATGTGCTTGCAAAATCCTTGCCTTTGTTCTAAAGCAGTTTCAATGTAGATAGAACAGAACAAATCATGAAATTTCACTAAATACTAGCCATGGTGGCTCACCCCTTCCTCTTAACACGCCATGACCATTGGAAGGTGGGAAAGAGATCTAAAGTAATATCAAAACCCTAATATTTCTTTGGTTGCACTTATGGCCACATTCAGATTGTATCACTTCCAAAAAGCTGCAAAGGCATTTTGCCATGATGGCTCCTTCTTCCCAGGCGAGGGCCAGAAAGATGAGAAGAGATCACAAGGCTATCATTAGATGAAAACAATAGACTGAGACTCATCGTCCAAGAGTCCTAAAGCTTTTTCCACATCAGATAGTTTGCTCGTACACATGGGTATTCATCCTTCCACATTCTGAATAAAATTACAGGCAAAAAGAATTGGAAGACAGGTATTTATTCCTGAATATCAAATTAGGCCTTTTCTGATGACCCAGAATGATTCACAAATGAGAGTCAAAACTATAAACCCAGGGTACATGTCCTAGCAGCATAGGGTAAGCTAGTTAAAGTTGTAAAGCCTGAATCAAACCAGGTTCAGACTCTTGCAGTTTCACTTTCTCCAGAGCTGGAAAGGTGAGAAGGGTAAGCTACTATTCCAGATACATCGGAAAACCAGAATGAGCTGGAGGAAATAGGACTTTCACATAAGTTGTACCAATTATCTATGGCTTTATACAAACCACTCAAAAATTTGGTGGCTTTGTTAAAGCTGATTTATTACTTCTCGTGATTCCATGGCTAGGCAAGGTGGTTCCTCACTGCTCCGCCTTGAGTCATTCAGGTGGCTGCCTTGTGCTAGAGGTCAGCTGGAATGTCAAAGATGGCAGTTGCTGCTTGCTGTCAGTTAGGTCACTCAGGTCACCATGTGACCTTTACTTCTTCAGTAGGCTAGACTGGCTTTCTTACCTGGAAGTGTCAGGGCAGTATTCCAAGATCACAAAGGCAGAAGCTGCAAGACCTCTTAAGGTCTGGACACCTGAACTCACACATCACTTCTGCTACGTTCTAAGTCACAAGGCCAGCCCATCTGCAAAGGAGCAGAAAAATAAACTCCACCTCTGGAAGGGAGAAGCAGCAAAATCATATTGCAAAGAGGCATGCTTCCTGGGATGGGAGGAATTTGAGGTCATTAACCATCTACCACACAAGATGTACAAAGGAAATGAGGCGGTGAAGGAAAGAGTTCTGCATGCTGTGTTATTTTCTGAGAAGACAGAGATTGTGGAGAAAGGAATCACAATTTAGCCAGGTATAATAGACACTTAAGATAACTCATAAATAGGATGGGTTCTTGATCTTTGAGGTTTTTGGGGGGGCTAGTACTAGTGGAAATACTGTCCTCATAGTGTAAATACTGCCCCCAAACACCTGGGAGTTTTTGAGTTTTTCCTCAGATATCAAAATTTCTAGCAGAGAGCACATTCTCTGTTTAAAAAAACCCCACGACATTGAACTGGGAATTGCCTTCTGATGCAGGTCAATGCTACCATACTTTCAAGACCTGTTTCTCTGGAATATTTAATGGAATACAAGAGGTAGTGGTCAGTTAGGACAGTGAGCTGGCAAGAAGCTAACATACATGCCCCAAATGGTTTGGCCCACGAGAGCAAACATCCTTCCTACAAAGACTGTACTTTGAGAACTTGTCTGCTAGTGGCGTCAATTTGGAATTCTCAAAACAGTCTATGAGCTAAGACTTCCATTGCCCTTTTTATTTTTACAGGGTATAGGGAGTGAGGGATTTGGGAAAGGGTTTAGGCTAAAAGATTTACTCAAGATTATCAAATAGACTCAAATGAGTAGAGCTAGGAAAAAGACGCTGAACAAATATTCATTAAAAGATTTTATTTTATAGAATATTTAATAACTTAATATGGGGGACATTTTTGTCAACCATAATTGTTCTATCCTTTGTTTACTTGGCTCCAAAGCGTTTTCTTTTTTCTTTCATAGAAAAGAAAGTGAGAACAATTAAAAAGTCTACCTGGCAAACAGAATTTTAGACTTTTCATGTGTAATTGTTCTGGGAAGTTAAACCAGTTGGTTTACCCTTTAGACGGCAAGTCCATCATACTCATAGCCTTTAATATACACACAAATGATAAGAATGCTACAATGGAGAGAGTGTGAAACCAGAATAGTCTATTACATGGATTTAGTCCAGGGTAAAGCCACCTTATAAATAATACTACTTAAGAGTTCCAAATGGAAACTCCAAATAGTGTTTTCTAAGGAGCAAATTTTCATTAGTACATGACAGGAGAGAGGAGTGTATGGTGACAATTTTTTTAAAAAAATATGCACAGTTAATTTAATAGAGTTGTCCTTTTAGAGCTACAACTTGTCTCCATGCTTTTGGGAGAGAACAATTCTGTACTAATTGAGGTTTTAGTTTTCTACGCAGTTTGCATTTAAAGAATGGCCAAGAAAAATGCAATAAGACCTACAAATGTTTTAGCAACTTCATTGTTGAATTCTGGTTCTTGCACTAATGTCATCAGAGAACTTTCAAGGTGACCCTTCTGCCTGAAGGATTCAGTTCAATCTCTTTATCAATTTCTTTTCCTAAATCTTGGATTTCTGCAACCCAAACCAGTACTGGAAGGAATAAAAATAGTGGGGAAACAAGGAATACCATCTAATAGAATGGTTTTGTCGGGAAAAAAATAGACGTCTGCTTCTGCAGAGAGTTCCTTGTTAGATACAGTATCTGGGGAAGAGAGTGGTGGTGATCACGGTGATGGGGCAGGAGGTGCCGGGTAAAATGGAGAGTTGGAAAAACTAGAGCTTGTTTCCAGACCAAACCTCAGGGGTGGGCCTTAGTGAAGCGTTGTTTAACCTTTCTTTATGAGGTATGCAGGCTCTTGAAAAGTAAGTGAGAATTTAGAACTTACTTATGCTTTCTCATGTCTTTCAAACATCTTTTTCTCCAGCTTCCCCCTGCCTATGAACGTGGTAGACTAAGTGGCAATGTTATGACCCTCCAGTCTGTGTTATCTTGACCATGAATCCCAGGAACGGTCTCAGCTAAGGAAAAATTTTATCAGAGGGACAGTTGGTCCTTATGTTCCAACTTATGGTTCAAGCCAGCCAGTGTTCCACTGAGTACTCATGGTTGTTATCTAGTTGGAAGAGATAGTAAAGAAAGGGTTAAAGATAAATGTTCTTTTTTGCCTACTTGCATTAATATTTAGTTTTATACCCCAGAAAGGGAGAAAAGAGTTAAAATTTAAGGATTTGAGGTTCTTAATAAAGATGTTAGTGCAAATTTGCGGGTGGTGCTGTCACACTGTATTGCTGAGGAAGTCACGGAATCAGAATTAACAAAAAAATCTATACTACGTTTCAAAATATGCAGCCACTGCTTGGTTGGATGGTTTAACTTCTAGTACCATAAGGTTTACTATTCCAAGACAGCTAATTCCACTGCTGGATAGCCTAAATTATCAGAAAGTCATTTTTAGGTTGAATCGAAATATGCTTTCTAACACTTGCACTTGGACCTACTTTTGCCTAGTGGATTTTATAAAAATAATTTTTATCATAGCAAACATCCTTGTAGCACATATTGTTTTAAGTGTTTCACATATGTTAATTCATTTAACCCTCACAACAACCCAGGGAGGTAGGTAATTTTATTAACTCCGTTTTACAGATATGGAAACTGAGGCATTGGAACATTACATTGTACTGCTCAAGGTTGTAGCACTATTAGAGGGAGAGTTGGTATTTGAACCCAGACAGCTAGAATTCCAAGCCCTTTTCTGTTAACAAGTACAGATACACATCAAACTGTTAACAACTACCAACAGCAGTATTTAGTAACTGATAGAAGGAACTACACACATCAGCAGTTGTTGCAACCAACAAGCTCTTTTTTTTTTTGCATTCCCAGCATCTAATTCTGCAAAGTCAGAAAGCAATTGGCTATAATACACCGAAATAAGCACCTCAACTGTGATGCTTACTTCTTTCTTTAGATAGCCCTTGCACACTTGCTAACAGATGCCATGCTTTCCTTAATACTTCTCCTTTCCAGAATGGCTGTTATCAAAAAGACAACAAATAACAAGTCTTGCCAAGGATGTGGAGAAAGGGAACCCTCATGCACTGTTGGTGGGAATGTAAATTAGTGCAACCACTATGGAAAACAGTATAGAGGCTCCTCAACAAGTTAAAAACAGAAATACCATATGATCCAGCAAAACCACTTCTGGGTATTTATCTGAAGAAAACAAAAACGCGAATTTGGAAAGATACATGCACCATCATGTTTATTGCAGCATTATTTACAATAGCCAAGATATGGAAGTGTCTATGGATAAAGAAGGTGTGGTATATATATACAATGGCATATTTCTCAGCCATAAAAAAGGAATGAAGTCCTCTCATTTGCAACCACGTGTATAGCTCTAGAAGGTATTATACTAAGGTAAATAAGCCAGACAGAGAAAGAAGAATACTGTATGATTTCATTTATATGTGGAATCTAAAACAAAAAACAAAACAAAAAAATAGACAAACAAAACAAAACAGAAACAGACTCATAGATACAGAGGTTGGAGGTTGGATGTTGCCAGAGGGGTGGAGGCCTGGGGAAAGGGTGAAATAGATGAAGGGGTTAAGAGGTACAAACTTGCAGTCATAAAATAAACGTCATGGGATGTAATGCGCAGCATAGGGAACATAGTCAATAATATTGTAATAACTTTGTATGATGACAGATGGTAACTAGTCTTATCAGGGTGATCACTTTGTAATGTAAATAAATGTCGAATCACTATGTTGTACACCTGAAACTAAAACAATATTGTATGTCAACTATTCTTCAGTAAAAATATAAAAAGACTTTTCCTTTCCAGGCTAACCATCCCTAGTTCTTTAATCATATTTCATATTCATCTTCAGCCAGAAAATACTTTCAAGCACATACTTTTTCCCCAAGCACTGTGCTAGGCACTGTATTAAAAGACAACACTCAAAGATTAATTTCTTGGGCAGATTACAGGTTTTGAGGGGAAGAAAAAAATAAATTTAAAAATTATTATAGTATATTAAATAATTATGGTAGAATTATGCTGAAGGTTCTTTGGGAGCAGAGAATCCTAAGTATTATTGAGACACTAAAGCTTTCCAGAGATGGTTACACTTTAACTGAGACTTAAAGGATGAGTAGAAATAACATAGGTGGACAGGAGGGAGATGCTATCATAGCAGAAGAAACAAATGGGCCAAGGCTTAACATAACTGAGTATGTGTGTATAGGGAACTGCAAGCAGTTTAATTCCCTGGAGTGAAGGGTGCATCTAGGGGAATACCTGGAGGTGAGATTAGAGAGGACAAGACTTTCTGTCCTAAACTGAGATAGAGGGAAGCCATGGTAATAAGTTTAATTTGTAAGTGACATCATTCAACAAATATTTATTGAGCAGCTACTATATACTAACCGTGTGGTAGACATTTGGAATTTGTTGTGAACAAAGACATCATCCCTGTCTTCTTAATACTTCCAGTCAATTGGAAAATAAAGACAGACAATAACAATAAATCTGGTACTATGATATGGGACATACAGAAATCCATGAGAGAACGTATTTCTAGAATCTAATTTGTCCTGGGCTTAGAGTCACCCTTCTTAAGGGAATAATCTTTATGCTAAGACTAAAAAGACAAATAAAACTTAGCTAGGAGAACCTGGGAGGTAAAGGTTGATGGGGTGGGGAGAAAGTACCAGAAGAGGAAACAGAGCAGGGAATATCTGAGGATCTGAAATAAAGTTCATATTGTCTTCAGTTGGATTCTCAGAAGTAGATCCTGAGACAAGATTTTGACTGAAAGTTTTTTATTTGGAACATGATCAGAGAAGAGTGGAGAAGAAAGATTGGAAAGGAAAGAAACTCAGTACAGGATGTATTAATGACCAGTTTACCTCTTTGAACAATGGGCTCAATCCCACTGCGGAACTCTGGAAGACTCTAAAGCATACTTGAGAATTGTGATATATGTCTGAGGGGTGAGGAAGCCAGATTATTAATCCACTAAATTCTATCTGTAATTGATCAACGGCTGGTCTTAGGGATGCTCACCCCCCAGCATTTCCAGATTGGCCAGTAGGTTAAGCAAGCTCCTATAGCCAGAGAAATCTCTCATGCAGAGTCAGGGGTGTTTGCAGTAGGATGTGCTCAGGTAGAGTCTCATACTAAGTCCTCTCTGTTCTGTCAATGGATCTTCAAGTTTCTTGGTCACAAT